TTGCACTTACACAAATACTACTTTTCAAAAATAAGTTTCAAAATCATTTCTTTGTTAACACTCTTGAGGACTGATATAAGAGTTAAACGCAAAGTAAATCGCCGCACTAAGGAGTTTTCAAAACATTTTCAGACACAAAGCACAAAGGTATTTTTAAAAACGAGCAAACCTCTAAGAGCCCGTGGAAAACCATGGGTGGAAAGGGTGCTAACACATTCCCTTTCCATTATCTACCCCCCTTATTCAGAAAACTCTCAAAAAGGTCTTTTTCTGTTCTTTTCACCCTTTCCTTTGTTGGATAAAAGAAAAGATGGTGGCAACTCTTGCTTACCGCAACATTTGAGAACACAAAAGAAAACCAGTATATAACAGTCGGTTCTTCCATCGTATCACACAGGGCTTTCAGCTCTTCTTTCCCCTTGGCTAGAGCCATGATCATCTGCTGAAACTACGCATTTTGAGTTTGTAGATCCTTCACTGTTTGTTCAAGAGCCATTTCTTTACTGCTGAAATAAACAGCGAAGAAGATGAGAAACCTTCTTGTAAAACTGTTTATGCAATGATATATATGATATATGTATGCAATGTTTTGAAGGATTTCGGGAAATTTAAATTTGTGAACAAAAATGAAACAAAGATTTTATTAGTAGAATTTAAAATACAATTGCCTTTTAGGCGTGCAATTGAAAATTCTAAAAACTAAGAAATCATGTTTCCTATGGGCGCTTCCTCTTCATGCCGAGATAAGCATTAAGACATCTTTATTTGTGAAGTTGCTTCGTGAGCTCCAAAACTTTCCTCTCATGGGAATAAAAATGATCTCTATAGGTATCCCGCTCTTTCTTCAGCTGAATCTAGGATCTCTGTAGTTCTTCAAGATCAGTGGGCATATCAGGATGAAGAACTGTATAAGGAATATCCCCTTCAGTAATGGCATCCACAATCACTGGTAAGATGGTTATATATGGCATCACAAGGTTCTGAGTACGAGCTCGTACCCATTGGAGATAAGGTTCTATAGGGATGGAAGTCTTCGGCCCCAAAGTCTTGGTATCAAATTTGTTTACCATGCCCCAAGCTCATATGAACCTCTGACGATACCCTTGAACATCATCCTCATAATTAAACATAATTCCCTGGATAAGCATCTCGTGAGGACCATCCCTTCGAGTGTAACCAAATTGTCGCAGATCTAGAGAAGTATTATAAGTTATGCCTCCCCTAATGCCGAGTAGTGGGACATTAGGGAATTCCCCGCAACGGTGAATAATAGAAATATCTCCCATAGATCGGGAATACCAGAGAATATTCGCATGATAAAGTGACATTATCCTTTGTGACCAGCCCAATCCTTCTTCATTCTTCATTACTGATTTAGGGAGTTGAGAAATAAACCACCTTGAAAGCAATGGCACACAGCACATAAGAATCCCTCTTTTCTTCGTGGTACAAGTGTGGAAGGTATGCAAGATGTCTCCGAGTAAAGTGGGCACAGGGTTGCGAGAGAGGAAGACCTTGATAGCATTCAAATCTATGAGTAAGTATGGATTAGGGAACAGTACTAGCCCATAGATTAGAAGGTCCAAGACCTCCTCAAAAACCTGGAAGTCCAAATTATCCCAAAGCAACTGAGCCTTCTCTATTAGGAACTTGGCTAGAAAGCCCTTGACTCTGCTTCTTGTTTCCCAGTTGGATACAATGTCGGACCGTTTCAGGTGCAAAGCTGCTGCAATGATCTCCGGCTTTGGAGCTTCTTCCAAACCGGTTAAAGGCAACTGATCCAAAATAGGTATACCTAATATCTGAGGGAACTCTTCCATGGTGGGCACCAACTGATAGTCTAGAAAGGTGAACCAATGGTGCTTAGGGTCAAAGAATTGAAAGAGCACACTCATCATCTTCTCATTAAAACCTGAGGTAACCAGATTGAGAAGTTGACCATAGTTCTTGGTGAACGAAGAAGTCTAAGGAACCCTTGATGCTAGATCTTTGAGTTGAAGAGGTATTCTAACAAAGCTAATTCGGATGGTATTTCTACGAGCGTAAGCCATGATCTTCCAAACAGAACAAAGATAAATTCCCCTAATCCTTGACATGGTTAGTGTAATCAAGAATGAATGTTTATGATGCATGATGTCATGTTTAAGCAAATTAATCACACATAAGCAAAGAACACAAGACCTTAGGTTTAGGCTTGCATGGGTTTTTTAGGTAAATACCCTCTTGAAGTTTAGTTGGTTTCAAACCTGTCCTAGAAATAGTAATCGGGTTCTAAGGAGTCTCAATATCACCGATCTTTATTTATCGGTATTATTTCAGCTTAGCAATCTTTTCTTGCGGTCGAAACATCCCGAAAGTCCGATCTTAATGAGTGTAGTATCGAGTATCAACTGATTCCCAGCTTTACAAGGGTTTTGGAATGCAAGAATGTAGTGGTAGACGAGAGGGAACCCGAAAATGCAGATGTAACCCTAGACTGTGAGTCCAGGTGATTTGACCCTTCGTAAAGATTTGATTCGAGGCTGACCTGCTCCAAATGCTGATTCTGCACAGGTGTCCTCGTTTTATCTGAGTGAGGATTTGATTTGTCTCGCTCCTCTTTCCGGACGAGCTGAGATAGATGCTCTTTCAGGTCTTCGTTTTAGGGTTCCAAACCTGACTCTAACAAGTAAGTAAACTACCTTGATTGGGAATAAATTAATGGAAGAAAACCAACGGCAACTTCCACGGAGCCATCTCTATATGCGCCTATTAGTGAGCTGATTGCTCTCCAGGGCCTTTATCGAAAAGCTTCATCGCTCGGATTTGTGTTGTGGCTGTAGCCCCGAAACAGAGTAATAAGGAGGCTGAGATGAAAAAAGAGAGACCTCACGGGTGAAACCAGTACGGCATAAGCCATAGGTCCGTCCTAACTAACGATATGGAAAATAGGCCTTGGCCTTTTCTTCCTTCCTTGAGGACCAAACCGATCTTCGAAGTTGAAACCCGAAAGTGAAGTTTGTTTTGCTTCTTTCTTTGCTATGAGAGTGAAAGCTGCTCAGAAAGGTCTTGCTTTTCCTATTACCGAATCGACTGCTAACAGCCGGCCTTACCTTAAGCGCGTTACAAACTATTGTTCTTGACAGGTTAACCCCTACACTGGGGAGCAAACTGCCTATCTGGGAGGCTTTCGATGGGCCTATTGGGGTAAAATTCTAACTTCCGCTGTTGGACCAATACCCCCCTTGTATTCCTCCAGGTCAAATGAAAGTGTTGATTTTTGTTCTTCTCTATCTGCTATTAATACGTATATCGCCCTCCTGAGAGGAATATTTTATCCATTAAAGGAGCACCTCAACAGCAGGAGCTGGTATGGACTTTGCTTCCCTCCGTGGATGAACCGTCTTGATTCATTCCTTTTCTTCCGTCATTTATGCACTTCTTTAGGAAAGAGCTTTGAGACTTCCTGCCCAAGGAGATAATGTGAACCAATAATTAATGCGATTATCAAAGAAGCGGCTAGACATAGGTCAAAGGTACAACCGCTACCGCCAGTAGGATTTCCTTGCTTTACTAACCTACGAACCGCACCGCACCGTGGGCACCATGAAGGGACTAGTGTTGGAATAAGAGTCAAAGACGACGTGGACGTCATACAACACAACACAAGCAAAGACAGGAGGTCATTTCCATCCCGAGTCTCAAACAAAGAGGGTGCTGGTTAGTTTCCTTGCGGCTGCCCTAATAATCTATAGGATTTATTCAGCTTTATCTGAGGCTTGAGAGTCAGTGCCTCTTTCCTTTTCCCAATCAGAGTTAAGCTAGCTCATTTCAAGAAAGCAAACAAGTGCCCGTAAGGCAAGCCTTCCTTTGAAAAGTGGAGTGGTAGTTTTCTTTTATGTCATGCCAGTTAAGGCAGTGGATGCCATTACTTGACTCAATCTATCCGGGTGATCAAAGGCGTATCGCGATCGACGCTTATTATACGTTGCTTCGACTGCTGTGTACATCCCCAGCCAATAAGAGAAGAGGAATGGGTACCAGACTCCCTAAGAGGAGATAACAGTGGTTTCGCGCCCCCTAACTACTGAAGACCTTAAAGAGGTGGTTGAGTAAGGCATAGATCGCTGATTCTATTAATTTAATTCTTTGAAACTACGCGCTAGACTAGACTACCCTCTATTTTAATAGTAAGATTTTATATTATTGGCTATTGGCACTTCTATAGAATAGAAAGAAGGTCTTGAAGAGCCTCGTCAAAAAGTACGCCCGCCCAAAGACTTATTTCCTTTAAGCAGAGACCCTTTTTCTGTGAGGGGCCAGTCTTTCAGTAATTTCTGAGGGCAATAAAAAAAGCTCTTGGCCCACCTTTCACTCTGTTCACAGTTAGCCGGGAATGAGACTGGGAGTTGGGCTTTAACCTCCTTCTCCTTTACCGAAAAGGGAAAACTATGCTATACCAGCGAGTGGGGAACAAGAGTCAGAGATAAGGTGAACAGATCTCAGAGCAGGCTACGAGAGTATATTAAATATGTTTGGGCCTCTTCGGAAGGCAGTTCAAAGGGGAGCTATCAAGGCTCAAGGAAAAGTATCACCTCCGTCTAGTGCTACTATTAGGGAAGTAGACGAACGATCAGGCTTCCATCTACCACTCTAAGGGTTGGAAGGTATATAAAAGGACGAGGAGTTCAATAGTAGGGAAAAGCCTTAGCCAGACGAGTGGCTTATTAAGGAATCATGGCACTCAAGTCCAACTTTAATAGATTACTTTCTCTTAGGGAATTAGCCAGAGGGGAAGGACTCAATCATAAATCATACTCAAAGCTATAAAACATTCAGTTTTAATGAGTGAAGAATAGTCTTTAATGCGAAGTCTTCATTTAATCAAACATATATTTTTAAAAGATTTAGGAAAGGGTGGTATAATTTAGAATTTCTAATTTAATATATAAATCATATCTTTCAGTCTTTTATTGAAGTCTTAATTACAGAAGGCTTACTTCCCTTGTTGCTGGGACACTCTACGGCTTAACGTCTGGAAAAGATTTTGAGGATGTTCGACTCTTAATAGGTGACTCGTCTGCAAAAGGGTGCATATGCTTTAACATTAGATCCGGTAAAGGTAGGAGCTGGTTAAAGGGCAGAAAGATTAGTTCAAGTTTCTTCCGCTTCATCTCCTCTGATAGCAGTATAAAGACTTCATACCTCTCCAAGCCTATGAGCTTCAACACCTGCTCTTCCTCCTTTCAGGTCCAAGGCGAACAATGCCTAAAGTACAGCAGGATAAGACTGAATGGGAGGGGATAATAAAATACCTAAACTAACCAAGGGATAAGATTCTTTTCGGGTAAAAACTTGCAAGATAAGTTCCCCCTCCAACTACTAAATACTCCAACGGGTGGAGGAAAAGACTCAGATATGACCCCAGGAAGATAATCTTTCTTGAATAGGGGAGTGAGCGGCATAGATGGCAAAGCGGATCTCTTCGACTTAGCAAGAGCTTATACCTCGGATGAACTTTCTCTACATCGGTCAGGAGTTGATGAGGAATCGGATAGACGAGTCAAGGCTTCTTCAACAAGACTTGTAAACAGAAGAAGATTGTCTCCTTCCTACGGGATTAATTTTAATCCCTGCTAGCCTTTACTTTCATCCCCGGTGGGATTTAAAAACTCCTGCTCCTTCGGCTTCGGAATCAAGACTATACCCTCTGCCAGCTTCTTTCTCGACGTGCGATGTCATCAGAGTGCTTCCTTTTCCGCCCTGTAATTCGCTCAAAGGAAAAGTGACACTACCTTTCATCAGTTTGAGATGGGAAATTGGATCAAGGAAATTCATACATATTTTGTGCTCACTCTTGACAACAGACTTAGTATTCATTGATGTTCTAACTTACAAAGAAGTGCCAATGGGGGGAGTCTATATCAGCTGACCGGAGAAAGGCTAAGCTTACTTTGCCGCGGCACCTTAGCGTCCTGTCCCTTCCTCTCATTAGCTCTCTTTTATATGCACACGTGCGCGAGCCCTTTCAGAGAAGGAGTGGCTTCAGGCCGGCTTAGACTGCTTGACTGTCTTGCTAACCATTTCGCCTTTAGGGTTGCATGCTAGTCTTAGGTTGTATAAGAGATGTCGCCTTAAGGCTTCTTTTAATTAAAAAAATGGAAATAAGCTTTCTATATCCCGAAGGCCGATGAAACAGGATCTGGGGGCTTAGACCACTTGAACTCTTATTTTTTTAGCTTAAATTAAAGATAGGCCTTCTCGAGCCTTTTTAGACGAAGTAAAGGGAAAGTAAGGATCAATAAGAAAAGAATAGGCATCGAATGCCCTCTTTGAAAGGAAAGAATACGCTCTTGTCGCAATTGAATCAATAGTTAACCCAAACACAGAATAGGCAGCTTGAAAAGAAGCTCTAAGCCTTGACGCTCTTGATGGCATTACCGCTGCTAGAAAGCTAACTGAATGCGTATCTGGTCTTGAGTAAATAGAAGCTCTGGGATTAGACGCTGTTTGCAATAACCGCTGCTACAGTTGGAGTTGCCGGTGCTTTAGTAAGAGTATGAGTAGGAACTCTTGTTGGTCTTGTTGTCGTATACGGTACTAGCCTTTTAGTCGTTTCCAGGGCTCTTCTCTTGTCACGAATCGGCTCTTTGAAGGAAGGAGGCAAAAGGTCTAGGCCCATCTATCCTAAAGTGAACCTTAAGCTAAGCTCTGATCTTCTTACTCTAAGAGAGGCAACAGCAAGTGCCCTTACTCCTAATCTTTTAACAGAACAGAATCATCTTTAGTTACGATAGAACCACAAAAGTCAACTGAAAGCAAACCATCGAGGGGCCGTAGGCGGTTAACTCGCTCACTAAAAGAAGTGCTTTTTTTTACACAAGGTAATGCTAATTAAAGTGCCACAGTTGATTCGTCGAAAAGACTAGCAGCATTTGTCCACTTCTCTGACTCTGAAAACATCGAAGCGGTTGGCCCCCCCATTTGATCAATTTAATTGCCTTTATCTGATTGGCAACCTAGTCGATGCCTAAAATATGCTTTATTCCCTCCTCTTTCCTTGCTTATTTGTTTGTCTAGGAGCAGGAGTAATAAGTCATAAGTAGTGGTGAATCCGTGTAGCTGTCAGCTGGTAGTTTGTAATTATCACCCGGTAGCTGCTTTTAGAGAATTATGTCTGATCTTCTGGGGTGGTATAGCCTTTATAGAATATCCTCTCCCCCAGGAAAGCTAACTCAATAGGAATTATCTCTCTCGCCGATGCTATTGAATCCGCAGCTGTTGGTCTTGGTGGTAGGGGATCGTTATCATTCAGCAGAAGTACTTCGAGGGATTGCTAAGAATGGAAGACAATTCTGTCCTTATTTAGCTTGAAAGTGGGCCATTGCGATCGTGGTGATCATCTTTCCCTGTCCCTGCTAACCCACAACTAAAGCATCATGACTCTTTGATTCCACATCACATGCCCTAACTCCACGAAGGGATGGAATAGACACTAATCTTACCAAGATATACTAGTATTCAATCCTGAAAGAGTTAAGGAAGTGCAGAAAGATAGACATTAGTCTTGGACTTAACCCCTGAGGAGAAAGATCCACATCAGCTTGTCCTAGAGCTAGCCTCAGACTCTGAAGTTTATGTTAACCATACGGGTCTATCAACCGCCTCATTTGCAAGGCTAAGAAGAGAAATGAAAGAAGAAAAGCTGTTATAGCAAGGATTTATTCTTTTAGGAGCTAGCTTAGCCAGACTTCCTAGAATAGCCGTATCTGTATAATAGAAGAATAGAGCGAGGGTTGCTTTCCGTAACGGGCTACTAACTACGACTTTGCTTCCGCAGCACGTCGAAGGTCTTCGTCAGGTGTCGGAATCACATTTTGATTGTGGTCTATGAACTCAATACCAGATAAAGAAGCTGCGAACAACTGAAAGAATAGAGGGAAGGTTGCATTCACACTTCTCTCTTCGTCATTCTAAAGCAAGGAATGAAGTAGATCTTCCCTTAAGGAATTAACAAAGATAGATGCCATTATCTTATATGTCATATCTATTTTCAAATAGGCCTGGTTCAACTCGACAGGATGGTGTTGGCCAAGAGTGACTAGCAACACGGAGTAGGGATGCTGCGACGGCAGAGGGGCGGAGATCGAAATACGGACTTTTGGTCGGACCTGTCGGAGACGATGCGGACCTTAATGCGCCCTATCTTCCTATCGCACTAGATGGATGAGTAAGTCAAAAGATAGGGAGACCTTGACCAAAGAGATTTAGATGCATAGCTGGACGGACCTCCGATTCTGCTTGTTCAGATGCTGCTCACTTGCTGCCTGCGCTTAGCACGGGAAGACTCAATAGAGACCGATGAATCGCATTCTAGGTTCGAACTTGCTTCCAGCCACTTGGTTCAGCCCCACTTTCAGACTGAAGAGAAAGGCTTTGGAGTTATTTTCCTGCGGCTTGACTAAACCTAATTTCCAAGCCTGTGGAATGGCTGTCAATTATTTCCATTAAGCGATCATAGGGTTCATCTGTCCTTTTTTCTTGTCAAGCTCCAGTTTTTCTAATGAATTCGTTCAGTCATTCGCATTCCAATCCGCCTGGCACTGAGGAAGGGTAAAGTCAAGACCAGTTCGGGGCATGGCGGGTATTGATGCAAGCCAGCCTCCGCCCCCTTTTCCAGGTTACGAATCGGCATCGAACTAAGGAAGAACAAATCACGGTTTTCATCAACCACTGCTAGACCCAGGGGAAGATCAGAGACAATTCGTTTGAGACCTAACTGTACACTTTCGATTTTATCCCTAAATTCCAACTTTATATATCTCTTTCTCCATTCCATTTTCGACTGCATGCTATCGGAGCTACGTGTACACCGCGTCGAGACTCTCCTCAAGCCACCTGAGAGTGTAGCTTCGCTAACCTAAATGCTGCCGTGATCTTATATATGCAACCCACCTTCAGATCTCATTCTGAATGGGAACACACGAAGGAAAGACTGACCACGGAACTTAGATTCGGATTCAGTTCGAGTTCGCTACTTAAGTGGAACTCTATTCTTATTCCTGGAAGCAAAGCAACCTAGCTAATTACTCTTTATTCTTTACTGGTCAGTATCGTACCTGACTAGACTGCTTTCTTCCACGGTGGAGCAAGAGCAAGCAAGCACCCCTACAGCTACCAGCTACTGAAAAGAAGTTGTTGCAAGCTCAAGGATATGGGAACTGACTGCATACTAACGGAATCTATCAAGAAAATTCAAAGATAGAATGAACAATCAGTTAAATAACTTACTATTCTAGTGAGGCAAGTTCAATATCTCACTGGAAGCCCCTACCTATTGGGGTAGTAAGTTCTTACTGAAGACAAGGGGGGCAGCACCAGCTGTGGCACAAAGCAGCAACTGTCAAGCTTTAGATTGTCTAACCAAAACAATTTTTATAAGCTAATACTTAGTCGTTACGATACTTTTTCCGCCCCCACTTCACCACTTTGAAAAGCCTACTTAGCTTTAGCAGGCGAGCAGAGTCAAGTCAAGATAACGCTTCCCTATCCCGATCTAGAAAGGATTCCGTCTATTCTTCACATTCCTATAATGAACTGCTTACCGCGAAAATCCCAAGCGAGTAGAACTATAGCTTTGTTCACAACACAACCTGGACCGCTTCGAGACTTTCTTTCTCAAGCTCTCCTCTCAGAAGGTTCAGGGATGATTCTTATTGCACGAGAGATTGCCCTACCAGCTAAACAACTGAATTCCTACCGTCTAACTCCTCTCCTTTATGGGTTGGCTACCGGGGATCCATTGTGGCTTGTGACTAGGTTGGTACGGTTGAATTACCATAAAGCCTAAGTTATCTGGTTCTGGCTAATGCCCTAAGGGATTGGCCTTGCTTTGAGTTAGTAATACTCTAAGTGCCGTTAGTACAAGAAGGTTCTGCGGCTTACTCTTACTACAGTTAAACCCTCTGTCCTAGTGTCGTGCACAGTCGGGATATCTAAATAACAAGCGATTCCCATATTATGGACTCGGAAAGCCCCCTCCATTCATCTGTAACTAGAACATCCTCACTTCCGGATCCGAAGGTGCTAATCTAATTTATTGACGAAGAAAAACGAGGCTATCTGTGATTACTCTTCACCGACCAAGAAGACTCGAGACAAACTTCCCCCTTTTGTTGGTTTCGTTATCCAACTCTCTATTTTCCGCAGAAAAAATTAAGTATGAATTACCTTCCGAGCCACTAGGATCAGGCCGATACGCTTTGGCATAATAAATCATAACACGGTTCAATCCCCTTTCTCAAGTGAATTCATCGATCAGGCACTGGGCCTTCCCTTCTCTCGATCGGCGTATCCGCTTCCAGAGGTTATGCTTTATCCAATCCAGTTTGTGAGTCTATTCCCTTTCCTTTAGTTGCTTATCCTTTAGGGAAGCTTTTCACTCCAGAGATGTGGAACTCTTTGACAGCTGGAACTTGAGACTCGGCTTAGTGTATTACGTGATGAGGCCTTTATTTAAGCATCAAAACAAGAGTTACAGGAGGGATAAGAAAGCTGTCCTGCTTACTGCTCCGAACCCATTTCTACATAAGGGCCATAAACCCACTCCCGACTAGGAGTGATGCTCTCTTCCGGACTACACTACTAGGTCTAAGTGGTAGGTCGGCAGGTTACGTGTGCAGTTGACTTTGCAGCTTTAGTGCGGCGCTTGGTTTTGTGTGCTTTGCAGCAGTTTACCATTCTGATGTACCGGATGCCCGAAGTGTGGACTCTTTATCTAAGTTAGCTTAAGGCCTATTCTAATAAGTTTTCTAATAAGTTCTCAGTTTTCTTCGTCGCCAAAGCCTCAATACCTACTCTTGAATGGAATTCTATCCCATAGCTCTTATTCCAAGAACTGCTGATTTCCCTTAGCAGCTGATTCAATAGCCAGCCCCCTTGCTTGGTTCTGGTCAGTCCCGCTACCGAGCTTTCACTTTCAAATCAATCAACCCCGTGCTTTAGATCAGCTAATTGGGAATCTGGATCTTCCCCATAAATTGGGATCGGCCACTCATCTTGAGTATCTCACTTGCTTGTTCAGGCCATAAGAGTTCAGAGTATAATCGCAGAGAACTCATACCGTCCCTTGAGCCTATAGATAGAAGGTAGGCCTAGACTTTAAGGTGAATACGTCTTTCTGTGATCTTACGGTAGCGAGTTTCGGTAAGTTCAGTAAGTTAAGTGATGAGCGAAGGTGTACAAAGTCTATGACTCACACGCTTAGGCGGGTTACGGGACTTTGTGATTCTTTCAGACAAGATTGCCTAGATTGATCAGATTCTCTTCCTATCTATTCATAAGACAAGATCCATCAAGGAATCCAGCGGCAGGGTACTTTATTCCGATATCTCCCCCCGAGGGTGAGGTAGACTTCCCTATCCTTAAGGAGAAAATAAGATCTCTTGCTTTGCCCACAAGCCCTACTAGCTTAGCAAGTCTGGTCGCAGGTGTGTTGTTCGTTCTAGCGATAGGCTCCAAGTGCAATTCTGATTCTAAATTAGGTTTTATGTTCTGCAATGAATCTGTTCTAAAGAAAGACCTGCCTATAAGAGGGGCTGGTTCACGGTAATGAATGGTGGTATCGATCGGGGCAAGCACTCGTTCCCGCAGCCCTTGTTGCAGCTGATAGACTCAAAAGTAAGGGCACGAAAAGCTGTCTTAAACAAAAAACCTTCTCGCGGGAAGCCCCCACAAAAAAAAGGGGGACAAGATTCATCGATTAGGTGGCAGCAAGGTTTGTGACTCTTTGATCTATCGGAATTGCTATCCATCAGAGAGAGAGAAAGGAATTTGTCTGGAGGACGGCTAAGGCTGTTGTCAAGAAGGTTATGCCTGCCAGTCTCTCTCTTCTAAGGCCTCTATGCCTGTTCTCGAATCCACTCTTATCTTATCCGCTGCTTGAGAATAGGCTTTGAGGAAGGGTACCACATATCCCTCTTAGTAAACCCTAAGATAAGGACAGAGAAGAGGTAATCCTAATAGTCAACTATTAGCGTCCCCGCTATCAGTCCAGTACCATTAGTTCTCCAAAGGTCAAAGGCTAGCCTTCTAAGAACCTTTCACTCTTGCCTGTTGATTGATATTCCTATCCTTCATTACCGGGGAGAACGAAACTTATTAGCATGGAACATATGCCATGATCCTTAAGCCTCCAAGCCTCATTCAAACGAATGATCCTAACTCAAAGATCAGATCATCTTGTGGAACTGCCGATTGCTTCTTTTTTTTCTTAAGAAGAGCTCAGTCATTTAGGATCAACAACACGTTATGAGGCCAGGCCGCACTTAACTAAGCCCACCAATTAGATGTTCAGTTCAAAGCCTAACTACCACAATAATGCAAGGCGGGAGAGAAGCCGGATGCCTATCATAGAAGGACTTATTTATTGGTCTATCTAATAGCCGTACAGTCGCTACTAATACTAAGACAGGGATGACAGGATTAGTCTTGAAGTCTTTATCTCTCTAAAAAGGGCTCTCTAAATCCCTAGAGATTGTTAACTTCTCTATATGAAAAAAAATCCTAAAGAAAGATCTAATACCAATTTTTGAAAAAATTCGTGGATCGACTAAGGAAGGCTATGAAGCTATCGATTCAATGAAAGAAAGAATAGTGGTGCTCAAACAGCACAGTACAATCACGGAGTTGTAACTACAATGGCTTCCCATGTACTGGTATCCTTTATGCGTTTTTCTCAATAGGTAGAAGCATAGCGCTGTCCAAATTGATAGCAAAAGATCAAACTTCAAGCTAGGCGTAGGCCGAGCATTCCTTCTTTACTTTAGAGTTTCCTTTTTTCATGCCTTAGCAGAAGAGAGGAGGCTGTCAAAGCCTACTGATCTGTTAGCGAATAAAAGAGCAGATTCGATTCTACGCTCGGAACCTTGGTCCAGCAATATACTAAAGCGCTTGGATCGGAGATCGCATGACCAGATCATATTCCATACCAAGCTTGGAAAGCTGTGCTTCGGTGCGGCTTTGTATACAGGGAAGAAGCCTTGAACTGTGCAAACGCAGAACAACCTCCAAACCGGATAAGATCTCAAGAGCTTACTACTCCATCCTAGGGCATGTTTACTTTTTCGGTTACAAAGACTCGTGTTAGTCAAAGCTACTAGAAAGCTTGATCCTCAAAAGAAAGCATGACCTTCGTAAAGGTCCAGTATAACTCGTATTCGTGATTTACTAACTTCGGCGCCCTAGCTAAGGAGACACGACCTCGGACTTGAAGAAAGGGGAATCAGACTCTCTAAAAATGATAAGATTATCTTCTATGAGAAATTACTTACAGCGATCCTGCATCTCCGCCTAGTTACTTCGCTCCGCCCCTTGATGACAAAGTAAACATAGCCGAAAGGCCCTTTTTTTCATATCGCTTTGCTAGACTCCTCTACACCTATCTTATGAAATCCGTGCCGTTAAATTTCCTTTTTCCCTCCCTCCTGTCTCACCGCAACCTGTCGCCTAAAACAGGAGAATCGAAGGAAAGCAAGTTTAGGCTTCAAGTCAACTACATCTCAAAGCCTCGAAGGTTATAAGAAAGCAAGCTAGGCCCCTCATTCAATTTAGCTACTCAAGTCTTCTATCCACTACGTCCCTCAACCTAGCGTATGAAAGACAAAGAGCCTTAACAGTTTACTACCAAAGCTCCCTCTAAAAATAAAAATGCGGCACCCCATTCCCGAGCCCAATGGTTAATAGAAAGGGCTTGCTTGAGTGTATGAACGCCTAGAAAGCTATGGCTTGGTCCCCTATTGCGGATTAAAAAAGCTTTCTATCTCGACCATAACTAACTGGTAATCAGTAATCAGGAGTTTCAGGAAACATCTAGGATTACCTACCCATTACACCAAACTGCAAATAATCAAGTGTCCTGAAATGCATGTCAGGCTAAAAATAAAAATAAGAAGAAGTCAGAGTACCTACCATCAATCTTCGTAGCTAGATCGGAGATGCAAGAACATATATTGGAATAGACAGATTGAGATGTGCTCCTTCGTAGCGAGATTCCCATAGATGTGACTTTCCCCTTACGTAGTAGAATGGAAGTGACGAAGCATCTATTGAACTACCATTTATGGAAGAGTAGCAACAAGATTGGAAGCTCTTTCCCTTGGGTGTGCATTCATATGGCAGTCAAAAGTAGCCTGATTTATAGCCTTTTTGACTCCATAGGAAGCGAGAGAAGCAATAGAAAAGGAATCCAAGTCAATAGAAGTAGTAGGCCCATGCCAAATGAGTAGGCTGATAGCCTGGGAATCTAAGTCACTAGACCAGATGGAATCGTTGCCTGGCTTTGACTCTTCCTAAGGCAGTTCGTGAAGCAATTAGCGGAAAGGACAGACTGGCTTGATGCCTTTGCAGATGTCTATGACTCTGGAATCAGTCTCGAATCCGATTTCCGACGAAAAGGCTTATGGCCTGAAACTGGCATCTTAATTGGATTCATTTTCATTTCCCAGTGGCTGGGCACCTGCCCATGCTCATCTTTTGGGCATTCTCTTTCCCCTATCATCCTTTGACCCACTCACAAACAAAGGCCGAAAGCTGGTGTTTGCCAGTCACAAGAGAGCATTAGTGCTTCCCGTTAGTCTTACGAGGAGGAGAAGCACATAATGGGAACGATATTGGAGCTTAAGGTTGGTACATTGCACGCATTAAAACCTTAACTCTTATAACCTGTCTTTCCTTGTTATCCCTTGCTTTTAGCTCGGTATAACCCCTCTTCCTCTTGCATTTGCTTGTAATTCCTTGTTTCCCTCATTCTTGTTTCTATCGTAGGTTCGGTAGTAGGTTCCAGCTTGCACATGCAGGATCCCCCCTTCGTCTTTCTTTTCTCCCGGCTATAGCGCGAGAGAAACGCGAACAGCTGATTCTCAAGCAGGGGATTCGTCGAAAACAACCTATCTGTCTACTTGCTTTCAGTTCTGTTCCCGTCTCGATCTTAGCTTAAAGCTCTCAACCTATTCTTGCGCAAACCACGTTCACTGCCTTAATTTAGGAGTGAAATAACCCGCTATGAGTAGAAGGGACTTTGCCGGGTATTCCTTCTTCTTGATAGCGCAGGGGCACAGCGGTAAATACCAAGGAAAGAAGATAATTAAATTTTATCCCACGCCACGGTAGATAGTGTTCTGTGGGGGAAGGAAGCCAGGCATAGGCGTATCCGCCTTGGAAGTTTGAATGCCCTAAGATGGTCCTTCGACAAGCCCGCCCTTTTCTAAAGCTTCTATGGATTGCACCTTTAGAAAGGAAATCAGCATTTAGGACAATTTTCCCAACCAAGGAAAAATGGCACATTTCGATGTCTTGTAGGAAAGGAAATCCGATCTATGAAAAAATTACCTAAAGAAAAGTGTCGATTTAACTTTTTAGGAGTAAGTAAAAAAGGTCCCTCGAATGGAATAAGAGCTTTTCCGGAGGAAGTAACTTATTATATTATAATAGTTGATAGTTTATGTAAGAGAAGAAGTTCTTGGTTTGGTTGAATTCAATCAAAAAAAGTACCATTTTCAATTGAATCCTGAATCCCTTATTCTATAAATTTACTAAGAGAAGAAATCACGTAAGTGATAGAAAGAATCGTTCAGTAGGCTAATCTTGAAAGGTTTCCATTTTCGATTGATAAAGCGGCAGGCCCAAAGAGCTCTCCAATAAGTGCACCGAAAGGGGGCCGGAGAGACGGTCAACCTGAGATCGGCTAAGATCGAAAAGCACTTGGTTTACAGCCAAGCAACGACAAAGAAAAAAGAGTCCCATGTCTTTCTTGATTGGTAAACCCAACCAGCGATTTACAACAAACAAGTCTTTCCTCTTGTTGGGGGGAGCAGTTAAAAAATGAACCAAAGCAAATGAAATTAGAATGGCTATTCCTCACGATTGCTCCTTGTGATGCAGCGGAACCATGGCAATTAGGATTTCAAGACGCAGCAACACCTATGATGCAAGGAATAATAGACTTACATCACGATATCTTTTTCTTCCTCATTCTTATTTTGGTTTTCGTATCACGGATCTTGGTTCGCGCTTTATGGCATTTCCACTATCAAAAAAATCCAATCCCGCAAAGGATTGTTCATGGAACTACTATCGAGATTCTTCGGACCATATTTCCTAGTATCATCCCGATGTTCATTGCTATACCATCATTTTCTCTGTTATACTCAATGGACGAGGTAGTAGTAGATCCAGCCATGACTATCAAAGCTATTGGACATCAATGGTATCGGACTTATGAGTATTCAGACTATAACAGTTCCGATGAACAGTCACTCACTTTTGACAGTTATATGATTCCAGAAGATGATCTAGAATTGGGTCAATCATGTTTATTAGAAGTGGACAATAGAGTGGTTGTACCAGCCAAAACTCATCTACGTATTATTGTAACACCTGCTGATGTACCTCATAGTTGGGATGTACCTTCCTTAGGTGTCAAATGTGATGCTGTACCTGGTCGTTTAAATCAGATATCTATTTCGGTACAACGAGAAGGGGTTTACTATGGTCAGTGCAGTGAGATTTGTGGAACTAATCATGCCTTTACGCCTATCGTCGTAGAAGCTATTCCTAGTAAAGATTATGGTTCTCGGGTATCCAATCAATTAATCCCACAAACAGGGGAAGCTTAAGCGGAAATGAAAGAGTAGGGTGAGGGATAAGGGGGGAAGCCACTAAATGGAAGGCTTCGCTCGCTCTAACGCTCGTTTAGTAGACAGCGAGTGGAGTGCATAAGCCCCTTTAGAGATAGGGGCGAGTACTACACGAGCTCGTAAGTCAAGTACGGAACGAGCGAAGGAGAGCGACCTCATCTTGCTTCTGGCAAAGCTTCTAGAAGGCCCACCACTTCATAGGAGCGCTAGCGAAGCCGTATAAAGGCAAACAGCTCGTATAGCTCGCAATAGCGAGCCTACTTATCGCTTTTTTTGTTTACTTTACCGTGCAAGGAAAGTCAAGAATATCATCAGTAAGAGTGGTTGCTATTTACTTCTCGAGTATGCAAGGCCTTTTTTTCGTCTTTTTCGGCCTGTTGGTACTTGTCGAATTGAAACTAGAGAATCAGAAGATTCGCCAACATTACCTATTTTTTAAGTGGATTCGGGGCCGGTGTAAGTACGTGATTTCAAATAGCATGTTAAAAGCATATGATCCTCCTTTTACTGTTTAAGTACCATCTCCGCCTTTGCTATCTATGCTTCCTGGTCGCTAGACTCATTCTTCTTCTTCTACTTTACTTCCAGCTACTCTGCTCTGAGCTTAAGAAAGGTTAAAAAGGTTGCCGGTATGTTATTTTTGTAGTTTTGAATTCCAGAACTGGTCAATTCCCCTTCCCCTTTCGAGAACTATCTTCTCTAGGGATTCCTATTCTATTTCTATTTACTCTTCGCCGTCTACAAAACTTAAAGTTTTGGTAACTAACTTACAGATTGTATCTTAAATAAAATAAACATCCTTTAAGCGGAATGGGGGGCAGATGACGAAGCAACATCGATAACAATGAAATCTGAGTCTGTGGTGGCAGACCCTTTCCAGGCCCCTACAATCAAGCAACCTCACCAATGTGAATGAAAGAAAGGGCACCACATACATCTCGACTAGTTCGTGCCTGCGGAGCGAACAAAAACCTCTTTTTAATTCTGATTCCGACTCCGAAGTCCGGATATTTGGTTGCTTTGTACTCGACCCATGTGATGTGGTTCGGCTTGTTGCGCCACCTCACTTAACCAAACATATCTGATAATAAGAAGTTATACCAGATCTACAGCACTTGCTGCTTCATGCCCGGTTGCATCTGACTCTGCTGGTTCACCTTCTAAACAGGTCTCCGCACCTGAGACACATCCTTCTCCTGTTGCTTATTCTTTTTCCTATATTGTGGTGGCTTATTCAGCGAGCTGGAGCTCCTACTGTTCCCGCGCCAGGTTCCACTCTAGCTCCCTTCGGCCTCGAAGATCATCAGGTTCCATCCAACTAACTCTAGTTTCTATGTTAATTGGTTTTGTACTTCTGCATGTTGGGAATAAAAATAGAATAAGATTTTCTACTTTACTTTTTAAGTGATCAACTAGGTTTTTAATCCCTCGCTTACACTATATTGGGCTAGGTTAAGTTGGAGGTCGTACATTTCACCAGACTGTGGGACAGACACGTCCAAAAATCCGTTCTCCCCCCTTCTGGTTATAATAGACCCAGAACCCCTGCATACCTTTTTTCTACCATAAGGCCTCCCTGGCTTCTTATTTAGGTTCTATCTTTTGTAGATTCTGGTCTGGAAAGTACCCTTGCCCTGCCTGATGCTGTAGCAGCTTATACGGATGCGTTGTATCCTTACTTGTAGCCGGCTCTGTTACTCCTGGGATTTTATCAAAATAGATATAGTGGAGGACAGGTTTGAGTACGAGGAGTTCCATACAATAAAAGGATTTCTCTATAATAAGAGTGATCCATGGCCTTGAGCCTAGAGTCATAGAAGAATTCCTTGATGCTTCCCATAGGGATAGGAAAGAGTCAAGTGGCCGGTTAAGCAGCTAGTCCTAATCTAGGCACATACGCCGGTTAGAGCAGTGCCTTTTCAAAGCTTAGCTTCTTAGATTCTCTTACTAATAGAAAACAATCTTTCTTTCGGGAAAGTCTTCTGCGCTCTATTAGGCTGTGGGGCCCAGATCTTCTTGAATAAACTAAAGTTTGCCCCTTGGAATGAAGCCTCTTAGGCTGTCTACCTTTGATTCAAGAGTCTCACCTTGGCGATCTACTGAGAAGGTCGTATCCATGGTCTCGACTCGCTCATACCCGGCCCACCTCTCTGAGGGGGACTTCCTTGCTATGCCACCATCCTATTAGCTTAGCTGGTAGTTAATCTATTTACTAGTCTGATGCACACTTGGAAGGCTCTCCTTTATCTTACCAGTCGTGCAGCACAATACACGCGTTTAGGTCATAATTCTTATCTCAGGCTGAGAATTGGGCTTATAATGCCTTTGTTTTATGGACCTCGGGACCTTGAATTTCCAACTTCGGCCTATCATCTTATGTTTTTAGTTTTAAAAAAATAAAAGGTTCGCGCCCTAGAGTGCATCCACGTCTTAGCCTTAACGGATGAGGCCTGCTATGACAAGGGATAGATAGGCACTACCTCTAACAAGGTAGTCCTATGGCGATATAATGCCTTCTGGATACGACTCAAGAATAAACCATTATCTATCTCCCTAGTCCCTTTGTCTGAGCACAGGTGACTCTCTTAGTGTTAGTACTTATTCAGTTAAGATATACATAGTCTTTAGGGTACAGTCATTACGCAGCAATATATCTTCCCCACTGGGCGCGTATGGTAAGATGAGATACATCCTCCGGGCCTAAGTCAATCCTGACTTTCTTCGATCTGGATTCAGAGGCTACATCTAAGTAGAGTGAAAGATGATCCTGCCCTCCTATTACTCTTTGTTACAGCTATTTCCTCGTCTGGGAAGCAATCCTTTTGCTTTTTATTTTAATTATCTTTAATTTAACCAAGTTAAATGTTAGCAATATATATTAGTATACATTTTTATGTTTCGATGCAAAGTAGTTTTTTTGGTTGGTTAATTGGTCACTTCCTGAAACGGCTTGGATTGGCATTCTATTAGCTCTAGTTATCCTTTCGGTAAACTACACTCTAGTACTAGACTTTGTGCGTATTACACTCGTTCGGTAGCTATTCACACCCCTAAACAAACTCTAACTCAGGGAAGAAGAACAAGTCTTAAAAAACTACATATGCGATAACCCCTTAACTTCTACCTTCTCCAACTCTGCTTGTTCCCTAGTGGTCGCTACAGCCGAGGATAGCTAGAACTAATGAACTAAGTTAACTCATCAGAATAACCGCCCCTCCTAGCCCGATAGCGCTTTAGGAAAGTCTTATGAAAGATAGAGTCCACTTCTAGGTCTTTGATCTCACCCAATCCTGTATGCTACGCTAGTTTGAAGAGTCTTCTTCCCTTTCTTTAACTTTAAGAACTCATAACTAATAAATTACTAAGAATATAAACAACTGTTCCAACTCACGAACTCAAGAAAGAAGTGAGAGCATCCTTATGTTTCCAGTCCCCCTACTCATATCGGAATGGAAGACTATGGGTCACGAAGAAAAAGAGTGTCTTTATTTTTATCGTGTTATAGCCCAATTCAAATAAGAAATTAATATGAGTCTAATAGAATCTATTTCAAGCAGCTAAAAAGGAAAGACTTTTTTTTATTACCTCAGCCAATGGTTTAGCTGGGGAGCTTCTCTGCTGACGTACCTCCTTCCTCCTGTTCGACGATTAACTCTTCCAGGCCTTGCTTGCCTCGTGCGAGAAAAGAGGGAAAGTGCTAACATGCTAACACCGGTAACGGGTGTTTCCGCATCTGAGACCGGAAAAGCTACTATTTGTCCAATTCTGCCTTCTCTCTTTCCTGTATACTTATTGTACTATTGATCATGTCCGCTCTCTTCCTTTGATCTCTTTTTTATGCTAGGATACCATCTAGATTATGTATGAAATTGATAGTTAGAGGAAAATATAACTCCTAAATGCAGCCGGGATCTTATATACGATACCACCACACCAATGATAGAAGGAGCAGATACGAGTACTCAAGCAGCTAAAGCAGTGTGGTTCCAGGTGCATTTCAAGTTTTGATAGTTGTTGTCCGAGCTCTTGTCCTTCCTCTATGATTCAAGACAAAGACTATAGTCTAGAGTGGCTTTCCTATTGCAATTAGTAACTGATCTGCTCTCGTCTTTTCTCTTGAAGAGCCCTCCCTTCTCGTATTAGCCACCGACCCCGAAAGGCCCAAAGAAGGGGAGCAAGTTTTGGTCAATCTCTCGGGCAAGGAAGAGATGCGCCGGGTCTTTCTCTTTGAATGGCGGGATGCTAACTCGATTCGCCCTTGCCTCTACGGGATCAACTACTACTTATATAAAGAAAAAGCACCAAAGGTAAGTTGTTCCCAGTAGAAAGATAAAAGCTATTCTTCTTAGCAGTTAAACAAGTGAATGGAATGATTTTCCCCCGGGGGTGACTGAACTACCCGGATCCTCATCTCTTGAACTCGTTCTGGCAGCTAGTTTAATGGCACCGGCATCTCATCTAGTCTAGATCGATTCCCTAAGAGCTTCTTCTCTAGCAGGCGATTTGGCCAATTTTTTCTTTCCTGGTAATAAGGCAAGGCCTTTCCCTATCACGCTTTATTGACTAGCTTCCTTTCATCGGCATTCATTCGTCTCAAAAGAAAGAGCTAGCGAACCTTACCAATTCAATTCCAATTATCTAAGACAGGGCAGGATAGCTGCCATCAAGCAGCCCCTTTAGAGCGAGGGCCTTCTGAGACCCATGCTATCAAGAAGAAGAGCCTTGAGCTAAATCATTGACCTTGCGCCTGCTTTGATTAGGACATTGCCGCATCTCATCTGGGGATCTAACTCTTTCCGGCTTAGCCGAACTTATCACCTGGAGTGACTGAAGGATATTATAATTCAAGCTCTGAACCAAAGCTAATTATTTTATCTTCTCTATTATTGTACCCTCATCGGCATCTCCTTACGCAGATTCAACAGCAGCTGGGTCGTGAGAGCTGAAAGACGTTCAAGCTCAAAGCTACAGGTTCTGTCATACTCGATTCTATTTCTTTCTACTCTAGAGTGACTGGCTTTCCTTTCGAGCAGACTAAGAAGAAGCCCACGTAGCGGTAACAGCTACGACTTCTTCCTTCTGGGCTTACTTGCCAAGTACAATAGCAACGGATTATGTACCAGCAAACTAGATTTAACCGAGTGTTCCCTCTCCGTTCTAGCTTTCTAAATAAGTCAGATCGGTGCCCTTTATCCGGGAAGACTCCTAAATCAGTTAACTGGGTATGAGAAGGCCTCCCCTCTAGTCTATAGTAGCCCTTCTTCCTTTCGTTTGTGCATCTTTCTCTTTATCAATTTCTGTTTGTTGGTCAACAACCACGAGTCAATAGAATGAATTCTGAACTATAAAGGAGAAGTGAACCGTTCAGGCAAGCGAAGCGGTTTGCTTTCTCTAGAAAGACTCTGCAGGGGAATTCGCCCTTTCTTTAGTGGATTGGCTCACTACTGACTTACTATCTAGTTACTAGAAAGATTAAGGTACCGTACTGGTTGGTTTGCCCAGGACTGAGACCGACAGACTGCTTTCAACCGCTTTTCTAGGGGTGGAATGAACCTTTACTGCACTGCTAGCGTTTTAGAGCTTGAAATAACTAGCACTCATACGGATTGGACTTAAACCAACCGTGCTACTAGGCTTAAAAGAAAAGCTTGAACTCTCCCCCCCGAACCGCCCTATTACACCTAGGCTCATATGCTCTTCAAAAGGAAAATAGGTTTACTTTCTTTCATTTTGGTTATGGAAAGTTAAAGTAGTCAAGTTGACTCTAATCGCGTACGCCGAGCTTCGATGGATTGTTGTGTTAAGTCTCTTTTGTGAGATAACAGAGACAAGGAACCACAGCCCCTTCGGGTAGGGCATAGGTGGCTACGGCGGAAAAACCCTGGATCTACAAGACTTACTTCACGCTCTCTAGAAGCTCACTGCAGAGGAAGGTAAAGTGATTCTTCCTATAAAATCAAATCAAAGAAAATAAAGATATTGTTCACCGAAAGATAGGCAATTTATTGACTTAAAGAGCGGAAGGGAATACTGAACCACGCCTCGAGTCCCAATCTCCTAGTGGTGGGATGGTAAAGGGCAATGTCCGGTTCTGGCCAAGAGATGTCTTTGCTCCGTCCCCCTTCTTGTTGGTTGGCACAAGCCCTTGTAGTAGTCAGCCTTTCCTCCCCGACGGTCTACACCAGGTATGAACTCGATTTAAACGGGGATCAGAGCAAAAAAGGCCCTTTTCCTTTTCTACTATGCTTTGAGCCGCTTCCAGGAATGGTAAGACTTGCCTTTGCCCTTACTCTATTAATAAGGAAATTCCCTGGTGTTCACTCTAGTTCCTAACTCATTTACGCTGTAGGCATAGAGCTATGGGAATGCTTTCATAGGCTAGGGGGGATAACTCTTAATTAAGTAACTAAGCCCCAAGGCTAGCGAAGGAAAAGGAAGTTACATTAGGGCTACAACTCCTGACTCGAGGGTGAGAATTTGAATCGAATAGATTGAATCAGAAATGCACTGAGAGAGAGAGGCAGAATAACCGGAAGCCGGAAGAAGGGCTTTAGTTAGGCAGCGAATCTTCATTGAAGTGATGTTAGCTAGGTCCTTTCCTCGAGCTAGTCTTGAAGCAGGCAGGAAGTCTTTTACCAGGATACCCGCTTGAAAATGACGTAGAGAGAGTGTTCGAGAACGTCTCTGTGCGGTTTATCGGTTCCAAGTAGCAATGAAAGTAAAACCACTAGCACAGCGTGCAAACGTTGTTGCCATGTTTGATAGTTTGGCAAACTAGCTCCTGAGAC